ATGACAAGACTGTGTCTATCTATTGTATTATTCGTTTTCTACCACTTTTTGTCGCATGCGCGCTTCAACAAGAAGGCAGAGAACGGCTTTGACGGGGTGACACACTCATACTGCCTGACACGCCCAACCGTCCGGGCGAACTAGGGTGTACGTGTGCGAACTAGGGGGTACGTGATGCAATGTCATTGGTGGAAAAAATGAACAGTGAATAATGGCACTGTAATAGTAAGAGTGCGTTCATACTTTTGAGCGGCTGGCACATATTGGTATTGATCTAGCGTGCGGCAACGTTTTGAGCGAATGGGAAAGTATAGGTATTGATCTAGAGTCTTGAGGGTACGGCAACGCATGCCTACTCTTTCCTAGTCACTCAAAACGCTGGTGTGCTGACGCAAAGTATGGACGCACTCTAATAAATTTTTTGGTGAAATCTCAACACGAACTCGACATCAAAGGCCGAACGGCTACTCTTTCTACGCTTCGTTTTCTTCAAAGTCCCATTAATGCGCGAGATCACCTCAACTATAGCAGCACAACAGTGGTTCGGCTTAACGTCTTTCGACAATTTACCGAAAAATCAACTTTGGCAGCTTTACTCATATTTTTGGGGTTTTACCACTTTTTTGTTCAGTGAAATACTCGGAGGCGTTCATACATTTCGTCAGCGTTCTGAGCAGTTTGGAAAGCATAGGTGTCGATATAGTAATCTGAAAAAAATGCTATTTCGATACCTACACTTTCCAATTTGCTCAAAACGCTAGCGGGTTCCCAGAATGCTAGATCGATACCTTATACCTCGTATTTTTCCCGTTTAAAGGGTTAAAGGTCTGAACACGGCTCAAAGTTTGCAAACTGCTTGATACTCTATCATCTCTTCTCAGTATTCCGATCAACTCCAACAAACTATGCTGTGTTCCCGGTGAGGAAGTTTGAAATGCATCCTGTCCTATTTTTAACAGGAAACAAGTTCCCATAGGAGTTAGTCGACATCACACTGAGTGGACGTTCCCAAAGAAAAGCAGTAAGGCCGCGTTTACGTTCAGTGATTGTGGAGAATCTGCGAATGTTGATCACGACCAGGGACTGGATAGGAATTGATTGACTGACCCTCTACCGTTTTCGAATATATTTCGAAACTATTTTTCCCCTTCTTCGTTGTTATTTTCCTTCATTCATTCATTCTTTCTTTCTTTGTTCTTTCTTGATTTGTTTTTTTTTCGGAGTGAAAATGTATATGTTTGTAAACATGAAGCAAATAATCAAAAATACAACTTGTCTGTGCGGACACGATCGTGCGAAAGCGCCAACATTTTTGCGGGTATCGCCCTTTTCTAATCTTTCCTAGTGAGGTTATTGTACATTTTCAGAGTATGATGCTTTCCGAGAGGTTGTAATTTTGAATCCATTTTTTACTATTTCATTTATTTTTATTCCGGTCTGTAAATACAGATTCTATTATATTTTTACTATTTAGTATTATCTAGTCGAATTCTAGTGATGAAAATAGACGTCTTCTTCACCTTGTGATTTGTCTATTGTATGTGTTTCAGCCAAAGTAAAGTAAGTGCGGGAGGCTTGCTTGCTGTGATGAGATTCTTCTTCAAGAATGATTTTGATGTGATAGCAGTTTCACAGCCGAAATACACAGTAGACGGCTCTGCTTATCCTCATAAATTTGCCAGTGGATGTAAGTATTTGTTGATCTTCGATAATCTTTTCAAGTCAAGGCCATGTCCTCAGCATGTAGGGGAAATTTTTTAGAAATATGCACCCTCGAATTTCCACTTTGGTACGTACCCTCCCCTTCTACCATTCCTATCTTCCATCCTATTCCTGATTTTCCCCATTCTAATTTTTGTTCTCTAAAACTGAACTTTTTCTATGAGAAACATAGGTCGGGGGGAGTATATAGTGCACTGAAACGGGCAAAAAAGTCAACAACCGGAAAACATCTTTTATAAAATCAAATACGGCCACCCTTGACCAACGTACACCCCCTACTTGCTGGAAATCCACAACGACATGCCTTATTTTCAGTATCACTTCAGAGCCTTGATAATAAGCCCATTTAAGCAGCTTGAAAGTATGGGTCTTATTTACTTGGCTGAAGGACACGCTCATGATGATATTGTTGCCCTTGAAATGGCCTATACGACCGACGGCGTCGTTGTATCAAACGACCAATTTGTGTAAGTCTCAACTATAAAGTCTGACTTTTCTTTCATATTTGATTTGTAATGATATGGTCGAATTACTTCTGCCTATTATCGGCCGTGGGAAGCGCTGTGTATATGCATAGACGAAAAATTCCACTCCTACGATTCCTCTTAATTGTTAGGCTTTGTGCTCCTTGAAGATAATTCCCGCGAACAAGTGATCCGTGAAATACCTCCGTGCATTTGGTAGCCAGGTCCGCACTCGCAGAGAGTGTACCGCTTTCGTCACACGAACATGCGAAATAAAGCAGTTAGAAACGCATTACTTCTTATTATTTTAAGGTTTTCCAAGTGCAAAACAACGACCGGCCTATACCTCTAGTTACCGCGAGTATTGCCTGCGGCGTCATTGGGTGACCTCATGTGCTCGTCAGAGCCAGCTTAGCTTGTCGACGCTTTTGTGAGCTCATGAGTCGTTCTGCACTCCATAAATACCTTCTCTGAAAGCAAGCAAGCAGTAGCACAGTCCACTTCGCGCGGCAGGATTGCGTTTTAGAGCTGCTTGAATTCAGCAGTGATCAGTGGCATTGTGCAGAAGCTCGAGTGTAGGTTAGAGTTGATGTTTGTTGGTATGACAGGATTGACCTGAGCTGACAAAAACTACCAGCAGACAACAAATAACTTTTATTAAAGG